TTGACACAGCCTCACCTCAGACAGAACAACTTGTACTTTTCGAATTGGAACTTGCAATTTTGGAGTGTCATACTTAAGTGCCTGGATTGTTGCAGGCTCAAGAGCAGTCTCGAAACTACGACACTCTGCACACAGGCCTGTAAATGGGCCCTGTAATCTTCTCCAGAGTAACTTTACAATGGTTCATCAAGAGTTTATCGACTCGTGAATTGGTTGCCGCAAAAGTGACTAGGATTCATTATCATATATGTGCAAAGCTGGAGATTCGTCGCAGTCTGACTGCTTCCTCTCTCTTCTCACCCTGACGAGTGCACTGGAAGCTAAGCAGAGAAGAATGGCACGGGGAAAGAAGTTGCATCGCGTGCGCATCATGACCTTGAGCGCTTTTTATTTCTTCAGACACGCAGCCTGGTGGCGAGTGTGCATGCAGGCACATGGCAGCCTCTTGCTTAACTATGCAACTCCACCACGGAGGTCTAATAGCTAGGGTACTCGGCTTTTGACCCGCAGGTCGCGGGTCGAATCCCGGCTGTGGCGGCTGCATTTCCAATGGAGGCAGAAATGCTGTAGGCCCGTGTGCTCATATTCGAGTGCACGTTAACCTCTGGGGGTTGGAATTTCGGGAGCCCTCCACTACGACGTCTCATAATCGTATGGTGGTTTTGGGACGTTAAGCACCACATATCAAAGGATCAACAGTAACTATGCTGCCTGTGATGCTTAAATCAGCCAGTGGCCGTGAGTTTGTGTATATGGTGACACACTTGGGTATATAGGATCACTTGTCAAGAGAAAAGGGCACAGAGCCTAGCTAAATTTAAGAATTATTTGTAAATTATATGCTACAATGTTTGGCTCGCATGTTCTCAGGAACTTCGACTACCAATCGGCAGCATTTTTCGACCATGCTGGAACAATGCTGCGAGGCCTCTTTAAAGTTTCAACAAACTCTAGCCATGTGAATTAAGTGCTCAAAGAAATGCTACAAGAGTAGTTACAGTTACGTAGCTCCTCGTACTAGCAGTTTCTCATAAAAAATTGCTGGTGAGCTTATGTATCACTGAGGGTTGCATAGTTTTTGTTATGCCTCTGTGCTACATTCTTCCATGATGCAACCAAGTTTCACTAATGGGTCATTCCATGCCAAACGTTCCAGCCATTTTGGCGACCATCTCAAATGTATTTGAAAAAAATCGTGCCGATTTACTGCATTGAAAACAGTGAAATGGTAGAATATTTCAGAAATGAAAAAAATTTTTGGTCACGTGGCTGTCTTCTGAACTTCCCAGAATGTAGTTTCGATGTTCCTAGTGGAAAAATTTATTTTAAGAGTACCGCTGCTTCTTTCTATACAAAAGTTGGTCTACATGTTAAGCAAAGGTTTTTGTGTAAGGTGTTCGAAACTCAGTAATATTATTGCAATTTTTCTGGCACATATGCATCCAAGAATTTAGGTAAAATGTGTTATGTTTATATTTCTTCTACTGCAATACTCCACTTTGTTTGAATACCAGAGTAGTGAATACTTACAACAGAGATGGTATCTTTTGAGGAAAAAAATATCTTTATACCTCTCAAGCTACTAAACTTTATCAAAAAAACACAACTTTGTCAAAATCATCATTTTTGTCCATATTGAGACGCAATATGCATCATGCAAACGGTCAATTAAAAATCAGCATTATACTTAAATCTAAAGCAAATAAACAGTTATTTTCACGTGGCAAATCTTGCCACTACATTTTTTGTTTTAAGGAAGAAAATTTTTGAAATTTTCCACAGGTGGTAATGGGGAATTTTAAGATGGCAGCTGTTGCATGAAAAATGGGAAGATAGGTGCCAACAGGAAAGTTCAAAAATTATTTTCTTCCTGAAAACAAAAAAGTATAGTGATAAAATTTACCATATAAAAAGAACTGCTCCTTGCTTTTGATTTCGGCATAAAGGTGATTTTTAATTGGACCACCACATCATGCAAATTGTGTCTCAATATGAAAAAAAAATGACAATTTTGCAAAATTTGTGATCTTTTCTCGCAGTTTAGCTTGAGGGGTCCAAAAATATTTTTCCTCAAAATATACTTTCTGTGAAGTAAGTATTTACTGCTTAGATATTCATATAAAGTGCAGTATTTCAATAGAAAAAATGCAACCATAACATATTTTGGCTAAATTCGTGGAGGCGTATGTGCCACTAAAATGGCATTAATATTACTGAGCTTCAAACACCTTACACAAGCACGTTTACTTAACATGTAGACCAAATTTGGTTTAGAAAGAAGAAGTGGTATTTAAAAAAGAATTTTCCACAAGCAACAGCCCAACGACATTCCAGGAAGTTCAGAATGCAGCCACATAACAAAACAGTTGTTTCTCTACGAAATATTCTAGTAGTTCACAATTTTCAATGGAGTAAATTAGCACAATTTTTTTCGAATACATTTGAGATGGTGGCCAAAATGGCTGGGACATTTGGCGTGGAATGACCTTAGGGGGAGATGCGGGTCAAAAAAACGAGTTTTTTTTTTTTCAAAATTACCGATTTTTTATTTTTGCCTGTTTTGATAAGATTAGTACCTCTACTATTATGAAAAAATACAGGTTGAGACTTAACTGGAAATACTTTAAAATTGCATCTAAAGAGCACAAAGTGCCTTTTATGAGGTCCAGAGCACCTTGCCGCCAATAATGCGCCGCCGCTCACCATTGTTGATCGCATAAGCCGAAGAGTCGAGCCTCACTCTTCAAATAATAACAATTTTCTTCGCTGATGCAGCGCAAGAAATAATAAAAAGATGCTTGCTTCTGTGCGTTTTTCGAGCATCGCGGCTGGCTTATCACGTGGTACGAATCAGGGGACCGCCATTGGCCGCGGTGTGCCTGCATGTGCTGTGAAGCCTATTTGCGGGGTCCATGTCTTGTCGAGCAGCACAGATGAACAATGCTTTTCTCGTGTAATTATCTCCATTATGAATGAAAAAAGCCATTGCTCCCAAGTGGAAGTCGTTGTGTGGCGCGCTCTGTATGAATAGGCTACGAGCAGCTGGTCCGATTTGCGGCCGTTGTTGGCTTGCAAAAGCCAATGCATCAAAAATCATTCACACCCGTCAGATGGAAAGTTTGTGATGCGGCAATGGATGACGTCAGCGCCAATCTTGTTAAGTCGAAAGAGCTCGAAGTAAGGGAACTTGGCAGGGACGACATTGCCATTATGTACGGCGGTATGTGGTACAGACATGGCCGCAAGATGGCATGACACTGGACTTAGTTTGGATTTCGCAGTCCTGTCGAACTTCTTCCTAGCTTGCAGTTGGCACATGGCTCTCCCAGATGGAGCGGAAGTTTGGCAAGCGTTTCATGGCCCCGTCTGTGAGCGAAATGTCCGTGAGAACTCGGCTCGAAAAAGCCGAGAGGGACAAACTTATGGTGCTGGCGTATTTTAGTGGTAGTGGCCACTATAAGAAAGATTGTTGTTTTGGTTATCAAATTTAATCAGATTTAATGATATCTTTCATAAATAAAAACTCAATTTTAACTTTAAAACTCATTTTTCTCAAAACACAAACTTTGCCATTTTTTTAATGTGCCCCTCCTTTCTCGAGCACTTATAGTGCTCGGATCTGCATGGAATTTTGCCCAAATTTTTTTCTAAAGTATGACAAATGCAATTATTTAATTAAATTTTTAATATGTTATTGTATAATAAAGAAATTGTATGTAGAACTTTACTAGGGTAGGTGAAATATGAACTTTTTAGGTCTATTATTTTTCATGCCTATTACATATTTTTTATGTGCTTCCTAATTAGTTATTTGCATTCTAAGCTTTATTTCAAACATTATGAACTATGAATGATAAAAATTACGGAAGTTCAGGAATGAAAAGAGGGGGTGGCGGCAAAAGGATTAAGGTTTTCACTTTGTCTGTCGCAGAGCTAAAAGTTTGCATTTTGCAAAAAACTAATTATATATTCAAAATCAGCATAAAAAGTTCCATAAACAGCTCATGTTTCATTGCTCTAGAGCAAATATTAAAAAAAAGAAGGGTCTTCGAGTAGCATCTCCCCTTAATGTCAGATGGCGAAATTCAAGAACAAAGGTCAGAAGCTGCTGAATGAAAACGAAAAAGTGAAACGATAATGGAATCGCCACATGTGATGCAGATGAAACAGAGAACCATAGGAAGAATATTCGTGAGCTCAGCCAAGCATGGCCGAGTTGATTAGAGGTTGATACTCGTGCTTTTTACTCAAACAGCTTGCTCAACAACATGCAATTACCCCCACGTATACATCAACTTTTGAGATAAAACTACTCACTATGCACACATTATCAGACAATTGAGATAGGGTGTAAAAGCAAGGATGCATGGGAACTAATAGAGGCTTATCTCACAAAAAAAGGTGCCCCCGTGAGTGGAAACTCAATAGTGATGTATAGCTACGACAGTTCCTTCCCAAATCATGCTGCTGAGTAACAATAGGTTCTGTTCCCTTCTATCTGTGCAATAGTCCATATAGTGCCCTTGTGCAAACATAAAAAGTGAAATTGCTTTCGGTCAAAAAGGCGAGACAAAAGACTGGTAATCACTTTGCTTCATTTAACAATATGAAAAAAGTACAGTAGACTCTCAGTAAATGGAAATCTGTTGAACGGAACTACTGTTTAAACGGAACAAGTGCCTCTACAATGCTTGGTTTCGGGCTTGTATTCTGCACCCATGTTCAGCTTTCAGTAAACGGAACCCCTGTTAAATAGAACATATTTTCCTGGTCCCTTCAGGTTTCATTTACTGAAAGTCTACTGTACATGTGAGCAGTTTTTCAGCACTATCACCGAGGTTGCTTTGTTTTTATGCCGGTTTAAAGGGACAGCATAAGAGTGAGTTGACTATGCCATTTCACTCTGACAGATAGTACCGCTGCAAACCACACCAGTACTCATTTATGTAGTTAATTTCTTGATGCAAAACTTCTTTGAAATTAATGAGCCTGAATCAAACTTGAAGGTAAACACTTTTACTCCAGGAACACAATGGCCAACTTCAAAGCGATAACGGAGTACTAAAAGGTTGCCTAGTTTCGAAAATGCGGCTTTGTGCACAAGAGCCTGGAGATGAGACCACGAGGGCCACAATTTTCAATACGAAAGAAAGCAGCAGTTTGAATAAGATTAGCTGCACCTTCCAACAGTTGTACCCTTGCTAAAACACAGACGGGACAAAGCTGTGACATGCAAAAATGCAATTTCTATTACAACAAAAAGCAAAAAAAAAAAGATTGAGGACATTACACAACGGAAAATAACGGCTTAAATAACGATGCATACATTGTGACAAATACAAAGTCAAAACTAATTGCAGTCAACAGTGCTTGACATGCTAAGGTAACAGTGGGACAAGACATAATTAAGGACAAGTGAAATCGCACCTTTTAATACACAGTCATTCAATGTTGCTTCAGTGCTCTGCAGTACCGCATGCAGTTCCGCATGCAGCCAGAAACTCAATGCACAACAGTACAGCAAAGACATTTTTTAAAGCACAAGACATCAAGGTACTGATGCGATGACAATTTCAAGTCAAACATCATTAAAGTCTGAAATCACTAAGAAGTGACCACGCGTCACTGAACCACTGGCTTTACTGTGATTTAGGCAGAGTTGCACAATTTCAGCAATGACATAAGTGTGCAAAAACTGCTAATTCCTTTTAGCTTCTAGACATCTGATTTACATACATAATTTGATGAAATTATTAAAAAGGGCAAGTCACACTCTGATAATGAATCAAACAAAAGAGCTACCATGATTATAACAACACCATTATCAGCATAAAAAGCCCGCTGTACTCCAGCACCGAATGTTTAACACAGTTGTGTGTAGGGCCACATTGTTTTCCTGCGCATTTAAATATGTACAACAAGGCTTATATATTGTCGTACAAAAACAGTGGCAAAAACTTTCCTCGACACAATCTCACAAAGACCTTCCGTAACGACTTTAACTGCAACGAACAAGCGTTATTATTACACTTTAGCAGAGTCCAGTATATATTTGCTCTTCCTTCAACTACATAGAGAATCAGAGAAAGTCTAATCACTGGCTTATCCTTTCAATGCAAGAGCTGTGCTTCTAGCACTAACAAAGTATTTTCTCTTCTGTGAGCACTTTCTGTCTGACCTTCGCAACCTTGCAATGCAGCCTTCAGTCATGACCAAAATAAAGGGGCAAGTAGTCCAGTGAACATTGTATAAGCTCGTACGTACCTTGCATTCATACTGTGAATATATTTCAAAACAGTGCACAGTACTCTAACACATGTATGTATAATATCATTTACAATTACACACCCAAATTATCCGGAAGTTTGTCAATGACAAGTAACCGCTTCATATTATCTGGCACAACATAGCAATAGCGTTACTGAAATACGTAGGGAGATGTATGTACAACAACATTTGCTTAAAAAAAGTGCGGTACTACAGCACTACATTTAATAAACGTGGCAATAATAAGAACTAATTCGAATACAGGCTACATGCCTAAAAGCAAGCCATTCTTATGAAATGACTGGATATTATACAGCAGTAGTTAAAAGCCATGTGCATTTGCTAAGAAACTGTGCACTGTGCAACAATCACTGCAGTCTTGGAAAAGAACCATTTGAAATAGTATTTGCATACATTCTTCTAGTGAAAAGGAGGTCCCATTGCAGTCTGACTTCGGGACCTCTTTTTGTGCATTACAACCACATAAAGTTTTTACAAATTACAACAAAATTATTTTTCATTCTTCGAGACACTGATAGGTGTTGGTTTTTCATATACATAATCAAAAGAAATGAATATTTGATTATTCATTCAAATTGCAAATTATCCTATGAAACGTGAACAAAAAAAGCTTGGTCTAATAAGCTTATCTTCTAAATTTCAAATATTCATATGCTAACAAAAACAAAATTGTTTGCAGGCAATGAATTCAGGATCACACATAACAGCGCAGTCGGAAGAAACACATTTGCTGCATAACAAAGGCACCACCATACACCAATGTAAGCCAGCAACAACATCCGGCCGAAGCATGTGTCAATGCTTCGTTTTCAAAAGTTGTGCATAACGTTGTGTACGAACTGTAGGCATGTTAGATTTCCACTGGAGCTGTGACAATGCACTTGTGTCGAAGGGACAAGTTAGCATGACAAGAGACTGCAGAACAAAGAAGCACAATGAAAAACAATACAAAACAATGTTAACACAACATTAAATAAGACTGCTGTTTTCATCTTATACCTTGCTCCTGAAAAACACTCCTATCAAGCATCTGAAAGTAAATAAAATGAAGCTAAACTGTTGGAACAGTACACAAGGGTTCAGCTGCACAGTAGGCTTAGCTGTTTAGGATATCAGATCTACTTTATAGCGCGCAGTGCAGAGCTAGCAAAAACCCCTGTGATTGCCAAGACGTGCTGGTGCCATCTGTGCAATCTGAAGCAACATGAAAGGCCAATATTCTAGAAATGCAAGGTGCAGGCTTTAATTACAAAAGAGTGGGCAGACAATAGTAAATCCGTCGTTCAACTCTATGTCTTGGTTTGGTTTTAGATGTAAAGCTTCTGCTCCGTCTTCTGACCCAATTTCAAATAAGACAATACGCTCAAGCCAAACTGTCACTGAGGAGCCTCTCACACTCTTTCTTGTGCACATGCTTGCTGCCCGTCGCCGTTGATGGAGAGACAGCACGGCCAACATACCTGTGAAATGCACAAAGATAGTCTCTTAGGGTCCGAATTAAGAATCATACTAACAACAGTCAATGTGGGAATGAATAACTCATTCGTTTATAAATAGAACACTACACAATGCAAAGTACATTCAATGAGTCAAAAAAAAAAAAAAGGTAACACTTGGTGCCCTACTGAGCATTGACAAAGACTGCCAAGCTTCCCAATTTACATGGAATGTGTACTTGCCGAGTCATAGCCCGGCTGCAATCTTGACATCCAGCAGTTCCCCCCTCTCCCCTCGACTTAATTCATACCAATGGCAGAGTGACAAGATTGGTTACTTACTGGATGGCTTTCTGATGAGCAACCACAGTCTGAAGCCGTGGCTGCACAAAGGACCAGAAGCCTTGATTCTTGTGTTCCTCCTGAACCCAGAAGATCTCGGCGTTGGGATACCGGTCGATCTCCTGTTTCACCAGGTCGAATGGAAATGGGCAGAGCTGCGCGCAGGAAAAAAACATGTCAGCTGCACCTAAACCCTAGTTGTGCATTAGAGCACTTACACGGTCTGTCTTTCTGTGTCCTTTCTACTGTATCATTAGCGTTGCATACTTAAACTGGCTACTTAGATGTGTGCACTTTTTTTTTTGACACGAAAATTCTGCTGAAACCTTAGCACAGTTTCATACATGCTCACATGAATTACTGAGTAACTATGAATGAAACTTGCCAGCAAAAGAAACACTTAAAAAATAAACCCATGAATAATATATAAAAAAGTTTATTACGAATTGCTGCAAATGTCCTGTTTTCTTTATTTTTACTGCATTCAATGCCTATGACAGCGTTAATTATAACATTGTGCGTCTTTAGTACATTTCATCACCATTCAGCGATGCTACCGAGGTCTTAATATGGAGCAATTTTGAGAGCAGCAAAATTTTCATTTTGGAGCACTTTGGAGCAGGAGCACTCTGAAGCAGCTAACTTCACACTAAAGCTGTGCGCCGCTGCCGCTGCCCGTTTTTGCTCACACCGTTCGCGCCGCCGCTGAAGTTCTGAGAGAAACCACGCTGCTGCCGCCGAATTACGAAAAAGCTCTCCTGAATGAAGATCCCTGGAGAAAGTATATTTGAAAAAAGGTGTCAACGCATTCTTACCGTTCCTGTGTTTTGTGGACGCCAAGCATAGAAAACTAGACCATGTTGCACAGAAACAGACACAACAAACATTCTAGCGACACGCATGCTGTTATTAGTAAAAACTGCTTTAATTACTTCAAGTGAGACTCTTTAAATGAGCTATCAGCAGCGTTTCTGGAATGAATGACGTCCACCGATGAATCGTCATCACACTGACACCCTACCAATTGGCCTAGATGTCACGAGTCTCTGCAGAGAGCATGTTTAGCTGCTGAGCCGACTTGCACAACAAAAGCCGCGTCAGCATCAGGCATAGGATTGTGGATTACTTGAGATACATGCCTGCCCGCTGTTTATTCAGCGGATTCAGCAGAATAGTTCTAGCTACATGGTTGTGGCTTCGGCAGCCCTGAGAACAAGCTGCACGTGTTTTGACGTGCCCGCTTGGCTATAGCAAATGATAAATAGAGGCCTCCAAAGCCGAGGCTTTGGTGTATTTTCGTTGATATTATCAGGATGGTGCTGTAAATCTGATTTGGCTCTTGGCACTGGAGTGGAATCACTGACCATTAGAACACTCCACTTAAAAAGAAACACTGGTCTTAAGAATCTCTTAAAATTTGCAAGAGTATTTGAATATTTGTGTACAGATTTGAAATACACAGTTATTTTAAAAGTATATTACAAACTTTCTTCCACTCTAAGAGAGTCAGCATATCACAATAACCTGGAATGAAAACTGTATGCTGTACAACAAAAATGCATGTTTTAAAACTATTTGAACAAAAGTTTGGTATGTTGAAAACTCCAGAAAAAGTCAATGTCAAGCTGAGATTTCGCTCACCAATATTCAAAGTACTGTTACTTCTCCAATATAAGCCTTTGTTCTTACGTATACTGTAGCAATAACCTATGGGTAGAGCATTGGCCTCATAGGCAGGAGGTAGTTAAGAATAAACTTTTGCACAGCCGAGAATGCACGTTTTTTATAATGCAAAATGATGTCTCTTACCCTGGTTCTCGGCTATTTGTGCTATTTTTCTCACCCTGAAAGGGTGCCCCATGCGGACTAATTTTTTAAATACTACTAATATCCCTGGCTTTGCATTTCAGAATCCCGATAAGATTATGAGAGATGCTGTAGTGGAGGGCGCCGAAAATTTTGACCATCTGGTATTTTTTAACATGCCCTGACATCACACAGTACATGGGCCTCTACAATTTCACTTTTACCGAAATGCGACCGCCCCGACCGGGATCTAATCGCGGCAACTTTCGGGTCTGCAGCGAAGCACCGTAGCCACTGATCCACCGAGGCCGACAGACTAAGATTCCTGGACACGCCCTGTCTTTACAACTTCCCACACTCCTTGACCCGAAAGCAGCATGGGTGTCCACACAAATGGGAGATAGTTTTTCACATTCCATTAGAAAACAATGAACAACTCATGCAAGAATGACTATGCAGTGGCAATGCCCCTTTCACGTGAAAGTTGTTGCAACAGCACACAAAGAAGGCAGGCAGGTTACCTGCTCGACGCGTGTGATAGCCACTTCAGAGTCGAGATTGCGTGATCTGCGTTCTTTAGTGAGCTCATAGTACACCTTTCCCGAGCAAAAGAGGAGGCGGCGCACAGCTGATGCGTTGTCCTTGGCTGGGCCATTATCTGGGATCAGCCGTAGGAATGATGTACCTGCAATCAAGCCACCGAGGGCGCCGCTCTTTTAGCAGACAACAGAGACGTTCTCCACCGGTGTACACATTGACAGTGATGACTACGCAAAAGATACAAAAGTACTAATTTTGCATATAAGGTGGAGCTACATATTGCAGCAATTTCCTTTTTTCCGGCATTTTGGTCATGTGAGGTTATATCAATGATCAAGGGAAGAGGCCGAAGAGGCCGATAAAAATGTCAAGGGAACAGGCCGAAGAACTTCCCAAGAAGCCTTCTCTTCATGGACACCTTGCAAAGAACTTTTCACATTCAGCCCTAACAAGTGTGCAATTACAAAAACCAGGTTTAAAAAAAGAAAAAAAAACTATTACTACGCACCTGGTAATTCAGATTCTCAATGCCATGCTAAATCACTTACCTGTGCAACAGTATAAAACATGGTATTAATTTCTTATATGTTTTCAAAAAAAGAAGAGATGATTTACACACTTAGCTCTGTCTCACGAAAGACTTAAAAATTACTAAGGTAATTACGGCATGCTCCGAATGCCAGAGCTCTGAATCAATGTGAGCAACGCGAGAACAGAGTGCACTACAGTAAAACCTCGTTAATTCGAACTCCGTTATTTAGAAATCCCACTTAAATTGAAGTATTTCCGCTGTCTCGTATTTCGTAATATAAGTTTGAGCATATATTTTGAAGCGGTGGTTATCACAAGTCTGGTTAATTAGAAAACTTTGGGTGCAGTGTGACCATTCCAGATCCTGATTTTGGCGCAAATCTGCGGAAACGACGGCCCTTAAGAGCGCCTAGGCAATAGGCTTTTGCAATACTAATGAGTGGCAGGTGAAGAACCTCTGCCTCGCTACCTCCAGCACAAAAAATAAAATTATATAAAAAAAAACACAGTCTCATGATCTACAAAAATGTGCACCTATGAAAAACAAGACATGCTTCACTGCAATGCAGCAGCGACGTGCGGGCAGCATGTTGCATGCTTCTCGCAACATCAGCGTGTCACGATTATTTCGGTCTTGCTGGGAATTTGAAAAAATTAATAAAAGGCAGACTGGAGAAATCCGGAATGTACGTGAACCTCCCAGTGGCAGTTGCACAGCTGGCGGAGTTCTTGCCTGCAACGCCTACTTCGAAAAATCAGGTCTAAAGCTTCAATGGTGATGTTTTCCAGCCAAAACACATCTAGAATTTCGTCATACTGTCCATAATTAAATTCCATACTTTATGAGGAAGAATGGGCAACTGATCGCATTATGACATGCAACGCAGCAAGGAACAGGCGGCGTGCTGCCCACGTGTCACTACCAAGCTGCGGTGAAAATGTCGCAGGTGCACATTTCAGTTGACCACTTTTCTTTTTCTTATGGTGACAGTAGTTAGGCCTGAAATTCCTCCTTGTTTGCAGCAAAACTGCGACCAGGTATTGCTGGAAAGCATAATGCTTAGAGCCACAAACTAGCCGGCACAGCAAACGACCAGCCCTAATTGATATGCATAATTTCAAGTTGCTTGCATCCCACACTTTGTATATTCTGTTAATTCGAAAACCTGCTTAAATCGAAGTTTTCTTGAGATCCTAGTGACTTCGAATTAATGAGGTCTTACTGTATATTTATCCATACTCCAAAATTCATGAATGAAAAACCATATGCATTTGAATTTTTTCGTCATGCAAAAACCATATAACATAACTGTGCATGTGCGAGCAGTAAACTTTAGGCTCAAAGAGCATAGTAATTTATTCGAAGTAATTTTAAATTGAATTTCACTGGTTCATATAACGTATAAAAAAAGGAGAATATTTGTCTTGTCCCAACTAACCTCCACACTATCTTTTTTCTAAATTTAAAAAAAGGCGTGTACAAATATGATTCTTTTTTGCTCAAGGAGAACTGGAAGCAACTCTGAATAGTAGCAGGATTTGACTTTCAGTAGATTGCAACTGACAACCTATAAAACACGTTGAGTTTTAAAAATTTACTATACTTCAAGTGCATAAGCTTGTATAACGTGCTTTGAAACTTCAAAAACGATCAATTGATGTGAGGGTAAAGTTGGTAAGAGGTATACAGAGTAGTGTGTGATTGTACGGCTCAAGTTATGCGAGTGCTGTAGAGCGCGGAACGTGTTCCTGACCCGCCAACTAACAATGCCGACTGGTTCCATGAAGGGGAACGCGGAAGACCGCCGCATTAAAACAAATAAGACTCCGTTGTTCACATGGGTCATGGGCAGAGCCGCCAAGGTCGCCTTCAGTTTGGGACAGAAAGGGGAAAGCTTACCCGGAAGGGCGCCTTGAAAGAATCGGGTCAAGCGCGGTCACCTGGGTTTAAGTTCTTTGTTTGGCATGCACGTGTGCCGTTTAAGAATGCAGACCGAACGTGACCACTGAGCCAACCGAGACAAAGTTGCGGCATACGGGCGAGCTTGTCCCCACCGCTATGCGTCTATACCAAGTGTTGTTGAGATGGTGGGGCGCCTCGCTGTTGCATTTATACCTTGTCAGTGCACAGTGCCTGGCAATGTGTTCATCGTGTTTAGGGTGGCTTCTACGAAACAACGTTTAGTGCGTGAGCTGACAGAGCTTGATCCTGGGAACGGCTATCGGCGGACGTCAGCCGATGCACGGCCTGACATGGGAGAGAGTGTGACAGGCTGAGAAACTATCCCTTCGCGTGTTGTATATGGTGACGTGCTTGTTTTCAAAGCCATGTCCATAATGAAAGTGTCCATGCAATTGGTGTTGGTTATATGAGCCCACACGTGTGATTGGCTTATGTGAAGACCCTTTGTTTGACAGAGGCTTCAAAAGAGTGTTTAGATGTGAAAACGGAGAGCAGAGGTTTGGGCTTGCACCCAGGCAGACGCCCGGGTGCTGCAATAAAGAGTCTCTTAACTGGACTACAGCTCTTCTTTCGCGCTGGTACCGAGCACTGGAATCATCGAGGGGCATCCAATCCGAAGCAACACCTTTCCTCCTTAGCTAGTGTAGAAGCTAGCCGAGAAGCATTAAATTGACTGGTCATATGTTCATTGAGGCTTTGGAAGAGTGCAGATTCCTTCTAAATAGGTGTGTTCATGGTATAGCACCCCTGCATTGCAGCAGAACCCCTCTTACAGGTGGTTACATGCGATTAAACTAGGCTTGTGCGAATAGTGAACTTTACAGTCGAAGCGAGTTCGAAGCGAATAGTGATTTTAGTTGAATAATTTCGAATCGAATTCGAATGGTATGTATTACACAGAAAAAAAAGGGATATTCATCATGACCTAACTAACCTGCACAATATTTATTTTGAATTGAAATAGGGGCTCCATGCAAACGCCATTTTTTTCATTCAAAAGAAGTCAAAACAACATTGAGTAATAGTTACAGTAGGATGCAAGTGATAATCTGTATGATGCTTAGCGTTTTAAAATTTATTATACTTGAATAATATAAGCCGTCACAAGCTTAATAAAATGAATCGATTTGAGGGTAACATGTTACTTTAAAGGGGCCCTGCAACACTTTTTCAAGTAGCCATTGAGCCAGATGCTTGTTTGTTGCCTCAGAAATTCATCGCCGCAAAGTTTCTAGAATTAGTCCAGTACAAGCAGAGCACCAAAAATTTGTCGCACGCTGCAAGTGCATTCTCTCTTCTCGTCCCGACGAAATAGCTGGAAGTTTAGCAGAAAGGAATGTCATGGCAAACGAAAATACGTCACACGCACCTCATGACCTTGAGCACCTCTTTTTTTTTTTTTTTTTTGAATACGCGACTTTCCAGTGTGATCGTGCACTTACTCATGCACGATCACACTCGGACAAGCGGCGGCCCCGGTAACGACGAGCGTGCCATGCTCAAATCAGCAAACGGTTGTGACAAGTGATTTTAGAGCTTGTAGTGTCATTTGCCGAGAAGAAGCAATTTTTAGCTTTTGAAAATTTATTGTGAATTACAGGTCGCGTGCTGCACTAGAATATTTGCCTCGCGTATTCTCGGTAGCCTCAACTACCGATCGGCAGCGTTTTCCGACCATGTTCAATAAATGTTGCACAGCCTCTTTATAATTTCAAAAGGGGCTCCTTGGCAAAGCAAACTTCCCCTGTTTAGATGCCTTCACGGCTTATCATTCCTACAATGCAGTAAAACCACTTTTACAGGCGGTGACATGTGGACTAATATACACCTATTTGTTCATTGCAAATACTTCAAAAATATTCGATAACTTAAACTCAAATCGAAGCAAATTCAAATACTAAACCATTCGTTCAAATATTCGAAGCATTCAAATATTCGCACAAGCCTAGATTTAACGTTTATTGCGATAGCAATTATATGGACACTTTCGGCTGCGATTTTGCTGCCGGCTTCGGCGTCGATGTCATGCACCGTATATGTATACGTATCTATATATATATATATGAAAACGCAAGAAAGCACAAAAAATCCAGAAAAAAAAACACGCCGGCATGCGCAATCGAATGTGGGACCTCTTCTTCGTGAAAGCGAGGCGTTAACAACTGAGCCACCCTGGAGCTCATCCTTCAAAGTTCAAACGGCAAGCTACGTATATCTACCACTTACCACTGCTCACGAGTATCTCGGAGGGAACTATGTTTTGAGCATTACCAGCAAGATGGCGCAACGAGCGCGTGTCGCCACATCGTGCGGCGGCGTCCGCTCCATTCTCCTATGGGTACTTCCCTGGCGAGATAAGTGTGCTCTCACGCGCCCTTATCTTGCGGCCGCGAGGAGGGGAAGGTCGTACACCTTGGCTGGCCTCGGGCTTTACCTGGAACGATTCTGCTGTAGTTATCTGGTGCACAAAGGTGACTGCAATCTTTGCAGTCTCCATTTGCGAAAAAGTGCGCACTTTTCAGACACAGCAAAGTAACAAATGAGATGCTTATTCGTGTGCACTCGTACCTGTGAATACGTTTCGTGCATGAGGAACGTGGAGCATGTTTCGATATGCTTTCAATTCTGCGCGTGACCTTTAAATTCTTGTG